TAAATATGACAATGTCATAGCAAAAATTATTTGAAAAATCAGGCTCCTTGTTGCTTACAAGTTCCCTGAACACAGGTTTAAGATTCCATAATTTCCCCCTCCATAATCTTAACCTGACTAACTCTGAACTAGGAACCAAAAAGAGCCCTTTGAATAAAAGGGAGTATTGCACATATTAATATTTAGTAATCATTACACAGCATTTGTACTGACTAGCAGTACGTATTACTCTATTATATTTGGAGTTTTAGTTTTTGTTTGTTATTTTCTGAAGTATCATGACTGTAGCTTTACTAGTACTTGACTGCATTCGATGAAATTGCTTCCCATTACAGAGAACATGAACTATTGCATTACTGGCCAGGGGCCCAAGCCATTAATAACCACCATATAATAATTTCCTGTAAATTAACCTGAAAATAAGAAGATCAATAGGAACCATTTTAAGTTACACTTCACTTCTATTGGTACAATTCAGTTACAAAAAAACAAAAGAAAAAACAGCTTTGTAGTTCTTTGAAAGAACAGAATAATATTTGTTTCACTGTTCAGCCATTCCCCACAGACCTTATCCAATACAAGTTTGGAGAATATATGCACAAGAGGTGTCTAGGACTATGTAGTTCAAAACACTGCACCAACATTCACTATTTGAGAAGGACACTCTGATAATGAAAAAAAAAATCTCACTTCTTGTCCAAAAAAATCTGTACCTCCTAAAACTGCAATCACCATCACAAATAACTACAGCATGAAAGAACTAAAAGACATTCTCCGTTGTTAGGTTTACTGTTTGTGCATATGGCAGCACTTGGTTGGTTGGTTGTTCACCTTCTTGTTTGCAAGGGTATTTGATCACAAAGTACAACAAAGGAAAGAAAATGCATTTTAAAGAGTAAGAAAATGGCAATATGATGCAGACTTAAGTTCAGTACCTGAAGCTACCTTGTTATGTAGATGTAGTTCTTGTGAAGTCACTGGCAACCTACCAGTTTACACCCATGGTGAAGCTTATCAAGGGAGATTAAAGCTCCATCTGAGCTTCTGAAACTACCTCTAATCTGAACTGTCATTCATGTTAAAATTCGACACTTGTCAACAAGGACTTAACAAGACTTTGAACTTTCTCACCCATTACCAAGACAGTTTCCCCAATTATCACCTGTAATACCATTAACTCACAAACATCCCACTCTCCCTACCTTTAATATCAGCAATTCACAGACACTTACCTTCCTTCCTCCCCCTTCCCACCCCCCCGCATCCTCCTTCTGTTCTGCAATGTGATTTGTCCTTTTCATATTTGTTCATTTTTTTAAATTGTATCCTTTGGTATATATGGTTGTGACTACTTTCTTCCACTATTTGATCTGAGGAAGTGGGTCTGGCCCACGAAAGCTCATCATCTAATAAACCATCTTGTTAGTCTTTAAAGTGCTACATTCTCCTTAGTCCAGGTTGCCTACTTACCTAATTTTCATAATCTAGTTGTTCACCATCAAATATTTTATTATCTCTCCCCTGTACTTGGACTCGGTGGACCATTACACTGCCAATAATTTCCTACATTCTAATCTGAAATAAACAGTCTGCTATAAATCATTAACACTAGAGCTAGTCAAAACTCAGGATTTGTGTTCCACAGGGAAAAATCCTAGAATTTTCTTTTCTCTCAAATTGTTAAAAACAAAAACCCCCACCCCACGATTCTCTGGAAAATTTTGTTCTAGAAATATTAATGTCCTTATCAGTGTTAGACATTGCATGTGGGGACAATAGTTCTGCTCAGGTCGGTTTAAGTATGCTGTTGACTCTGAGTCATAGGAAATGGCTGGAATGAAATATATTGATTCCAATTACTATCATTTTTTGGTGAAGTTGGACAAACGTAAAACTGCTGCCACTGTGAAGAAGCCATAGAAATCCAGGAATCATATTGCCCAGCAAACACTTGATCTTCTTGCCAAGCAGAGAGACATGGCAGCCAAGGGCAATACCAGCCTGGAGTATAAGTTCGTCTATAAAATGTTGAGAAAAAAGATGATAGATGATTATGAGCAGTATCGGCTTGCGAAAAAGCAAATGGCAGTTGAAGAGAAAACGAGTTTGCAAAGAACTCAATGTGAAATCCAGTTAAGCCAAACTCTTCCAAGCACGTTTGTTGACAAAAACAGTAGTAAAATGACAAACAGATGTGAAATGGAACAAATTTGCCTGTTCTTTTATAGTGAGCTATTTTCATCAGCAACAACAGTGGAGCCATTATACCTGGGCTCCGTCACCCCTGAACCTTATGTGCTCTGTGAAGAAGTGGCAGCAGCCCTTCAGAAGATGAAGTTGGGAAGAGCATCAGGTTTAGACCAAGTACACATAGAAAAACTTTGTGCAGAAGGTGATACACTTTTAAAGCACTTAGCGTGAGATTCTCAAGATGCATCAAAGAGGGGAGAATTCTGAAAGACTGAAAGAGATCTCAAACTATTCTTCTGCTGAAAAAAGGTGACTGAGACGACATTTGCAACTATCGACCCATCTGTCTGCTTTTTCATATTTATAAGGTCTTTATGAGAATGATCTCTGTCCATATTGAGGGTGTCCTCGAGGAAAACATGATAAGGGAACAGGCAGACTTTCATAGGGGATTCTCCACAGTGGACCATATTTTTGTGGTCACACAGATGTCCAAAAGGTTTAAAGAGTACAAGATCCCACTATGCTTGTTATTCATTTAAAAAAACCTTGGCTCAGTGGAACAAAATGCAGTTTTAAGTGCTCTCTTTTCACAGGGTGTTTCCCCTGTGTATGTTAGAATCATACAAGATTCCATGATGGACATAACTATGGAAATAATGCTTTTTGATGATCCATGATCATCAAAGTTAAGCAAGGTGTAAAACAGGGTGACGTTTATTCACTGAAGTTGTTTGCCAATGTCCTGGAAGACGTCTTGTGGAAAACCAAAGTGAAAGATGAATTTCTGATTGATGGCGAGGTTCTTCAGTTGCTCCTTTTCACAGATGACATTGTCCTAATTGCTTCAAAATCCACATCACCTTCCTCAATGACATTCGTAAGAATGTGAAGGAGATTGGCCAGACCATCCATACTGGAAAAACGAAGTGGATGAAAAATGCACATTTTTCAGAGTAGGTCATGCAGTTGGATGGACAGACTGTCGAGCTGGTAGATGAATATGTATATATTGGAGAAGTGTTGCAGATGGACAATGTGTTGGGTCCAGAGTTGAGCAGGAGGTCGGGCTGGATTGCCTTTGAGAGTCTGCATAGTATTTTTGTACATCCTAAACTTTCCACCACCATGAAAGCTCATCTCTTTAATACCAGTATCTTTCCGGTAATGCTCTATGACTGTGAAAACCTGGAACATGACATTTATAGAAGAATTAAAGCTGCAAATCACCCAAAGAGCAATGGAAAGACACATGGTGGGTGTAAGTAGGCTACAGCATGTTACTATTGATGATCTGTGTGCAAGAAGTGGTGACAACAATATCATCCAAGTTATGTATGGTTGGATAAGGACATGGGATGGTCATGTAGCGAGACTGAGAGACAACAGATGCACAGCACTTATACTTCACTGGTATCCACGAAACATAAAAAGAACAAGAGGAAGGGCTCCAGGATGGTGGGTGGATCCTTTATGGAAGATTTATGGAAGGACATGGACAAGAACTGAACAAAACAGGACGGTGTGGAAAATTGCGATCTGCATTGGTGGTGAGACCATTCACATCGATGAAATCATGGATCTTCCAAGTAAATCTGACAGGGTGAAAATAGCAATTCACACGATTTCTCAGCAAGGGCATGACTTTATCACAGGGGTAGGCAAAGGGGCCTCCACAGGCTGAACCCGGTCCGTGGCCTCTCTGCCATTCCCCAACCGTGAGGCCAATCGAGACCTGGAGCCGGGGGAGCATGCAAAGTCGTCTCTCCACTGGGCGGCTAGAGAGAAATGCCAACTGTTTTAAAATAGCTGGTGATTTTCGGGGGAGGGGGGAAACATTTCATAAGCTCTCCCACTCCCAGGCCAATCAGGGTCAGACGTGAGGGAAGCACAAGAAATCTCCTGACTCTGCCCCTTCCTTCTGGGGCAACCCAGGGCCACTTCAGAAATTTATGAAGTGGCCCCCTTTAAAAATTATTGCTCACCCCTGCTTTATCAGAAGAAGCCAGAACTAGGTTCCATAAACAAACACAGGCATGAAAAGGAAATTCCAGGTCTAGGATTCATCCAGATTTTGCTACCTGGGCACAAGGTTTCTGCCATTCTCTCCAGGAGCTTTTATACCTCTTCACTGCAATATTTACTTAAGGGAAGAGGAATGTAAAGTTGGAGTTAACTACTATCCAGGCAGTGCCAAAACACAATGCTCCCTGCCTCTCTATTTTTCAAAGCCATTCCAGATGGCATAGTGGTGCCAAATATGCAGACAAGACATAACTTTGCTAAAACACCTGGTCTGAGATAAGTCTTTAAAAAGCTGTTTTAGGAGAGTTGTATACCATCTGTAGAGTTAACACAAAAGTGCCAATAGGAGCGGCTTCTATAAACAAATAAGACAAGGAGCAATGAAATTATGTGGTTGCCAGTACAACAAGGGTTAACTTCAGTTTCACATTCCTCCCCCCTCTGCTGTACACAGATCTCTCTCAGAAGCTGGAACGGATTTTAAAAATGTTTCATGAGTGAGATGCGTCATAGTTTGCATGAAGCCACAGAGCGCATAAGTGGCAGAGGTAGGAACAGATCTCAGGAAGTTTTGGTGCAGAGTTCTATACACTTATTACATGCCACTCTTAAATTTTACATCTAGTATTTGTTGAGTTTATGTTCCTTTATTTTAATTTTTTTAAGTATTTTTTATATTTGAGAGAGACATATACACACAGACAATCTTTTAGATGTAAATATTCTCTCCCTTCCACGCGTCTCATTTCCCTAGTCATATAAAAATTACACATTGCTAATGGTACCTTAAGAGCACCACAAAGCTCAACAGTATCTGCATCATCTACTACAGTTATTCTGAAGTTTGGCGTCTGCAGGAGTTCTTTGAAGAGAAGGCCATTCTCCAGGATTTTACTGCCTGTTGAGGGGGAAAAAAGCAAGCAATGAATTATTTATTTATTTATTCTCCTGGCTTTTTAGAGCAAGGCAGAATACTTCAAAGCAGGAGTTAATGCTGCTAGAACAATCGCATTACTTCACCACCACCTCCTTTTTGTTCAAATCCATTTACCTTTTTTCTTATAACGTAAATAATTAAAAATAGCTAACTATTTGTCCAAGTTCTCTTCTCAGCGGCTGCAATTCTATGAAATACTTTAAGAACATGTCCATACCTACTGTTAAAAACAGTCATGAATACCCTAATACAACTCGCTAATGCTGTCCTAAAAAACAGGAATATGTCAACATTTTAAATTAAATTAACTATTTAAAATAATTAAATACAAGAAATGTTAATGTGACACTAAGATCACAAAGCTAACTGCACAAAGGTTAAAAAAAAAAGTTAATGTTCTAACGACATTAATTCGCTCAGATTTCATGCAGTTGTGTCTATTTGCATGCCTGTGAGACACTGATATTTATGAATAGATACACTCTCCAGCCTTAGAGGAGTGTACAGAGCTGTTAGGGAATGTCTACGCGGTACGCTTATTCTAAATTAAGATATTCCGAAATAGTTATTTTGAAATAGCATGTCTACATGACAGGGAAGCCTCAAAATTAGTCCGAGGCAGGCTTCCCTAATGCAGATGTGCTATCTCGATTTAGAACCCCAGGAGGCCCTGGTGAGGGGCTATTTCAAAATAGCAGCCGTAAAGCATCTACACACGCCTTATTTCGAAGTAGTTATTTTGGAATAGGCATTATTCCTCATGAAATAAGGTTTACAGATTTTTGAATAATTTCAAAATAATGGAATGCCTGTGTAGACGCTCACATTGTTATCTTGAAATAACTGAGCAATGTACATGCACCTTTAGTAGCTCCAATTGCAGGATAAAAGCTCACACCTACAGTTTGGAAGAATGTGTTACTATGAAAACGTATAAAGATTTGGTAATACACTCTAACCTCTAATCTGGCAACCCTGGGAACAGGATATGCCAGATTAAAGAATTTGCCGAGACAGGGAGGGCACTGCGGGGTCTGGGCATGAGGGGGACGGGAGTGAAGTGCTTACTTGACACCCCTCTCCAAAGGGCACATGTGGCTCTGCACTCCCTGCCTCTCCCTCCAGCCACTATAGAGCAGTGGGGTAAAGCCACAGAGGAAGTTGCTGTTTCCCCAGCTGGGGAGAGGGAAGGACAGTGTACACAGCAGTTTTCTCCTCCCCTTGCCAGGGTCTGTGCCATGGATGTCCCCAGACTAGGGACACCCAGATTATAGGGGTTCAGGTGTACCTTCAAGTTATAAAGATGGAAAGATAAATATTCACAAACTGCACCACCTGTTCTAAAAATAATCTAATTACTGGATATTAAACTGTGAAGCAAGTTATGTAGCAAAATACTCTGCACAGCAAGGGCACGACTACTTTATCAGCATTAAACAGTGTTATTGTTACTTGTGGGTTGGTAATTATTTAAATGTAAAAGTAGTAAGGGCCAGCTCTGAAGTCACAATCCTAATGAGGTGTCATACCTGCACTCCTGAATGCTACACTTGGAAGGGCGAGCATTGCAGAAAGTACAGTAATTAAAATATGAAAAGCTTAGCAGCTTCTGATAATGACTGATTAAAGCTGTTCAAATTATTCAATGTGGAATTTTGAGGATAGGTGTTTATACCTTAAAACACTATTATTACACAGAATCTTACCTATTGTGGTTTCACAGAACTTCTCTGCTGCTACCTCGTTGGCAATGTTTGCTCCCATCAGTACACTGATGTCTATTCCCATTTTCTCTCGAATAATGTCAGAAATCAATTTGAGTCCCTCTGGGCCTTCATCTATTCCCTGCAGCCAACATTGAAGCGAATTACTAAAATGGTATTAGACATAACAGACCAGACTGTGTCACAATTATCCTTATGGATACAATCAAGTTTATCCAGTTAGTGATAGAAGACAGTGGACTTGCTACATCTAAGACACATCTGGCTATACAGTCTTGCCACTACTGTGACCTCTAAAATTGCACCTAAAAATTACAAATTAAACTATCAAGGTCTAAAAGATGATGACAGGAGGATTTATTTGTGCTAAATAAAGTGCCATGAGTAGATCAATGCCAGAGGGTAGAAGAGAATTCAGCACTCTTTACTCCTTGTGTCTTTTTCAGGGAACTACAGAACCGCCTCTGTCCAAATCTATTTCTCCCATGGAACCAATATGAGGTGAATTAACTGTTCTTTCCCCACCCTGTAGAAACACAAGACTCAAAACTGTCCTGCTTCCTCCCAAACGTATAAATATTTAGGATGTTACACACACACACACACTTTTGTAAAGTCTTATTTTTAATGGTTTCTCATATCTAGCATGTAGACAATCACTTTAAACTACACCACAGATTTTTTTCAAGTATAAAAATGTATTGCTGAAAACCATTTAACTTTATATACGCCAAGAAGAAATTTCTGCTTGGCAGAGGTTTGCACTCCTAAGGCTCAAAAATATTTTATTTTTAAAAACATTGCATCCCTAAGAGACATATGTATTAAACCCACCAATTGAAAACACAAATCAATTTCATTCCCATGCCACTTAAAGTTCCCACTTAACATCTTTGTGGGGAGCATAATGTATAGTGATGAGGATCTGAAAACATACTCCTATATATGTTATTTAACTGCTCCAAAGATGTTTTTACAATCTATTTATTAGATGCTCCCTGACTAGGCAACTAACCAGCAGCTGCCATTCAGACTCTTTGGTCCATAAAAAGCATTTGGAACAACTTTCTAAATATGAATTTGTGCAGTTAAGTGAATAACCTGCACTGAAAGAGATCACACATGGCTGGGTACCTGACAGATAGAAAAAACTTTGGCTGAAATCAGAGAGAGGTGCACCTGCTTAAACTATGGAATAGTAAACCGATGTGGATCGGAGTTGAGACATTCCACAGTGTAGAGGTATGCCCATCTGGTGTAGAGCCAAAATAATGGCTCCCAACACAGGCCAGGGAACAGTCCCTATTTGTTGCAATGGTTACCAGAGGCAGCTAGACTGATTTCCTCTTATTCTTCAAACACAAATATTCACTGAGTTCCAGTTATTTGGTCTGTCATAATCAATGCAAGGCAACGTGATTACAGAAGCATCATGTAGGTTCTCTTTCAGCCAACTGGACCTTTATCATTCACCAATGGTCCAGTTTTATTTTCACATATTAGGTCAAATTTCAGGTCTGGCAGTTAAGCTTACACCTTTTATTTATAGAGTCAACTGCGTACAGAACACAGAGACAAAGGACCCCACCAATGCCATTTTACCTAGCCCTCTCTCAGAAAAGAGCTACCTTAAACACAGCATTTGTTCCCAGTGCCCCCTCCAAACATACTTGCGTAGATACAAGGAGAGAACACCTAATAAAAATCTGACTACAACTAAGTAGTGTGTCTAGTGGAGATGGTTAGGGATGTGTGTATACACATGCCCATGGCCCTGTCCACAGAATGGTTCGGGGGCAGCTCCTTGGGACCCATCCTTTGGGGGGGCTCCACAGCAGCTGCTCCACCCATCCTCCATTCTGATGGGAGCCCACAGGGCCCAGGGTGTCTTGGAGGATTACCGGAGGGCCTAGTGTGAGGTGGCAGCAGGAGTTTCCCCTCGCACTCGCTGTGGCAGCGGGTGCCAGAGCAATGTAGCAGTCTGCTCCACTGCCATCTCCCAGCCCATTCGGCTCTGCTTCACTGCAGAGGCAGCAGCGGCAAGTGGAGCGCCCCAGTCTGGCCCACTCCTCTCACCCAAGCAATGAAGGGCTCAGGGAGGTGCAGGGTGGCGCAGGCTGGGGCCATGGTGCTCTGCTTCCTGTTGCCGCAGCAGAGTGTAGCAAGGGCTGGGAGATGGTGGCAAATTGGAGCAGATTTCTGGGTTGCTCCAGCTTCTGCCATCGCGGTGAGTGCGGAGGGCGAAGGAGGCAACCCATGTTGTTGCAACACACCAGGCCCCCCGGGGTTGCGTAGCTCCAGTGAGGGGGCTTCAATTAATGGGTGGGTACAAGAGGGGCAAAGCAGGGGTGGAAAAAGACAAGGTGGGGTGGAGCAGGGGAAGACATACAGCAGGGTTGGAGCAGTGGCAGGAGATAGTGGGGTCTGGAGTTGGGGTTGCAGGATGACTCTGTGCACATGTATGTGTTTAGAAATAAAATGCGTTAGCTCCCCCATTACTTATGAAAGCTGAGATTCTATTCTCACATTCCCTTTTGTTTATGAGATCAGATCTCTGCCCCTTTATACAGGCTTACTGGTAGAAAGTGACAATTTGTGGTTTGTACACACTTGCATCAACATTTTAAAAAAAGTTTGCACTATTTTTCTCAAGAGAGCAACTACTGGACTTTAGATGCAGTTTAACAATGGGAAGTTGTCTGGTAACCAGTTCTGGCTCATGTAAAAGATGTCATTGCACTTTATATTAATTATTCAAACTAAGAATACACTAAATGTTTATGGAAAAATAGAAAAATATTTTCCCTTCCATAAATACTTTTTCCTTTGGATAGTTTTACCAGTGCATTAAATATTTATTATTTATATAAATATTGTCACTAATCATTAAGAATTTAAACTGCATTTTTGAAGGAATACAGATCTAGTTTCTGATCCAAATCAGATCTGTGTGTAGGATAGCAAGCCTTGTGGATAAGGGAGAAGCAGTGGACATGGTACTCCTAGACTTTAGTAAGGCATTTGACATGGTCTCGCATGACTTTCTTATCAATAAACAAGGGACATACAACCTAGATGGGGCTCCTATAAGGTGGGTGCATAAATGGCTGGATAACCATTCTCAGAGAGTAATTATTAATGGTTCACAATAATGCTGGAAGGGCATAACAAGCGGGGTTCTGCAGGGGTCTATTTTGGGACCATCAATGATGTAGATATTGGCATAGAGAGTACGATTATTAAGTTTGCAGATGATAAGAAGCTAGGAGGGGTTGCAAATGCCTTGGAGGATAGGGTCAAAATTCAAAATGATCGGGATAAACTGAAGAAATGGTCTGAGGTCAACTGGATGAAGTTTAATAAGGACAAATGCAAAGTACTCCATTTAGGAAGGAACAATCAATCAGTTTCACACACACAGAATGGGAAGTGATTGTCTAGGAAGGAGTACTGCTGAAAGGAATTTAGGGGTCTTAGTGGACCACAAGTTAAAATGAGTCAACAGTGAGACTGAAAAAAAAAACAGCAAACGTGATTCTGGGATGTATTAAATGGAGTGTTGTGAGCAAGACATGAGAAATCATTCTTCTGCTCTACTCTGCACTGATTAGGCCTCAATTAGAGTACTGTGTCCAGTTCTGGGCACCACATTTCAAGAAGGATGTGGAGAAATTGTAGACAGTCTAGAGAAGAGCAACAAAAATGATTACATGTATAGAAACATGACCCATGAAGGAATACTGAAAGAATTGGGCTTATTTAGTTTGGCAAGGAGAAAACTGAGAGGGGACATGCTAGCTATTTTCAAGTTTCTAAAAGGGTGTTATAAGGAGGAGGGAGAAAAATTGTTCTCCTTGGCCTCTGAGGAAAGGACAGGAAACAGTGGGCTTAAATTGCAGTAACTGAGGTTTAGGTTGGATATTAAGAAAGTCTTCCTAACTGTCAGGGTAGTTAAACACTGGAATAAATTACCAAAGGGGAGATTGTGGAATCTCCATCACTGGAGATATTTAAGAGCAGGTCAGGGATGATCTAGACAGTGCTTGGCCCTGCCGTGAGGGCAGGGGATTGGACTCGATGACCTCTCGAGGTCCGTTCCAGTTCTAGTATTCTATGGAAGCCATAATAACTGGACTGAATTTATTTTAAGAAAAAAACACAACAAATGGTCTGGTAGCACTTTATAGACTAACAAAATATGTAGATGGTATCATGAGCTTTCGTGGGCACAACCCACTTCTTCAGATGACTGGCTGAATTCACATTGATAGGGCAGCACTGACAAAAACAAGATTCAATTGCTTTATCTAAATAAACTTGACTTGCTTTAGTTTAACAAATAAAAATTAAATATCTGGAGGGTGACCCTGTGCCAGGAATGAGAAGAGACACGGAAACTTGTGCTAAGAAAATAAAATGCCTCACCCTCAATCAAATGAAGAGCAAGAACACCTAAAGCTAAATACTCAAACAAAATGTCATTTAAAATAGTAACTCCCTTGCCTCCGGCTCTAAGACTATTCCCATATTAGAACTGGTTTACTTTTGGATGGCTCTGAACAGTTTGTCTTGTTGCAGCAAAATCATTGATGTGAACACGCGCACTGTCCTCTCAGTCACATGAGATTCTCTCGTCAGTTCAGCATGTGGGATGCGAATTAACAACTAGACTGTTATATTTGTGCTCTGCTCTCCAGCTAATGATGTGTCCTGAATCAGAGGGAAATATTCTGAAAAGCCTGGTGGTGCAAGACATTTTTAAGTTAATCTTGTGAGCGGTCTCACCTCTCCTTACTGAAAATGACAGAATAAAATTAAAACTATTGCATAATAATTCACTAGAGACTAGGGCTCAGATTCTGACTGTACATCCAAACAAGTCCTACTGAACAAATCAAGGAAAAATAAAAGCCTGGCTAGGACAGGGAAAGATTTTTCACCTCCAACTCTCATTTGAATGAGGAGTCCATTATATATTGGCAATATTAACACACTGCACTTGTTATACCTTGATGAGAGTTATCCCAACTGCTTTCTTTGGTACCCGTCCTGTGATGTCATCACAGATCTTATGAATAAACTGATGAGGAATGACAAAGACCAACAAGTCTGCATCTTGCACAGCTTCGTTAAGGTTTGGAATAGCAATCTGCACAATTATGGGAGAAAAAATGGGTTGAAACAAAAGAAATTTAAAAAAAACATTAATTCAATTTAAAAGTGCTCTAAAATAACCAATAAGAGTTTTCTGAGAATGATCATTTCTATTATGCTATATCAATAAAAGCAAAAAACTCTAACAAATTACAGGCCTACAAGTGTGAAAGTGTTAAGTGTTTTCAAGCCAACCCAAACCAAGAGATATTGGGCCACATTTTCAAAGGGGTCTTTCCCCACCTTCTAATGTTGTGGATATAATCAACTGCACAGGCAAATGAAAGCATTTAGATAGTTAACTACCAAATTTGCAGGAACAAATAATGTTCACACCCAGAAATCAGAGTTCAGATAGCTAACAAACATTCACAATCTAACCAACTGAAATGCAAAATTAGATGCTCTTTTTGATGGTCTCCTCCTTAGCTGCTGGTTTGGCAAAACAGTATGCATTTATATGACACTATTGTACTCAGGAGAATGAGGCCTGGTTTACACCTAAAACTTAGGTCAACCTAGCTACATTGCTCAGGATTATGAAAAAAAAAAAAAATCACACTCCAAGAGATGTAGTTAAGCCAACAGAAGTCCCGTGTAGGGGTGTTAGCTACTGTATAATAGAACAGTCAACTCAACTCATGAATTCTTAGCAGTTATTCAACTATTCTATAGTCCCCAGAGGGGAGAAGCAGCAGTGCAGGGTGCCAGGTGGGAGCTGGTCTGCAAGGGGAGCCAGTTTAAAAACCAGCTCTGCTTGCAGCAACCCCTGTCTGCAGGAAGTCCAAGCATTCTGAGGACAGAGGCTGCTGGGAGGGGGGAAAAGGAGCAGGAGAGGCTGCTGCGATGTAGCCTCTGTTCATGGAAACCTCCCCTACCCTCCTCCAGTGCTGCTGCCTCTAACAGAGGCAGCAGCGCGGAGGAGGGGGGGGGGAGCCAGCACCATGAAGCTAGTGCTGGGGGAAACTGGCTTTTAAGATGGCTCTGCCCAGCACCAGCTCCTACTCCCCCCACCTTGGTGCCTCTGATACAGAGGCAGCAAGGAGGGAAGAAAAATGTATGTAGTTGACTAGATTAATTGATAAGCCTAAACTTAGCAGTTAATTGACTACTCGTTCACATCTTTAGTCCAGTGTAGACCTCTTCTTCCATTGACCTAACCACCACCACTCAAGGGGATGTATTTGTGACAGTGATGGAAAAAACCCCTTTCCCATCACTGTGGCAGGTGTTTACACTAAAACACTACAGCAATGCAGCTACAGCAGTGAAGCTGTGTCATTGTAGCACTAAATACAAGACATATCCTGTCAAAACCATGGGGTTTCCTATTCATTAATCAGTTCCTACTCCCACTTTGACCTCTTTCTGGGCCAGATTTGTGATTGCCTGCCACATTATGTTGCCCCCAACCATTTAGATTTGGCAGAATTGTACACTAGCGTGAATGAATACCCTGAAATTCAATGCAGCTTTCAGCACCCAACTATCCAGAGGGTCTGAAATCCCACCTCTCTTTCAAACTTGCCAGTCAGTTTTATTCCAGAATTTAGGCCAAATCTTTAAGGTAATTTTCATATAAGTTTACATAGAGAATAGCATATAGGTCCATAAAGTCAATAAAGAGACATATCTACTACCTGATTATGCTAGATATCAACTATCTTAAATAGTTCAGCTGTTTGGAACCCTTGATCATGCCCCCATGAACAACAAAATATTTGTAGTTTTGACAAAAAACCAAAAAAGTAAATTAAACTCCTACCTTAGGTTTAACTATAAGCAATTTTATACATACATACATACATACATACATACATGTATGTAGAGGCCAAGTTTAGCTTGCAAGTCTTACCACATTTTCTGGAAGCTTGTATCCAGGGAGATATTTTACATTTTCATGTTCATTATTTATGATATCTGTCAGTTTTCTTCCATTAATATTTTCTTCAAAGACCCACATTTTCACTGTGGAGGCAAACTTCTGCATATTTTTTACATTATTTCCTATTATTTTGGCAACTGCAGAGCCCCTGTAGAAATGAAAACAACAACAACAAAAAAGAAGAAGGTGTTCTCAAATGATAGCAACTTTGTTCTGGGGGGGGGGGGAAATCACTTAACTCACCCTTCTCCAATCTCCCGCCCCCCTCAAAAAAAAAGCCACCCAAGCAATTGGTCTAATAACTATTTAAAATTTTTGAACTAGTAAAACCAAACAAAAATTATTCATACATTTTGCTTCCACAAATACAATCATAAAAGAGCTTAGCAGATTGAAACATTTACTCATACTCCTTCGATTGCTTTTTCTGCTTATCAGACATGTAGGGGAAGTTCAATAATTTCATATGTGCAAATTCAAAAGGATTGTATTTTTCAATGCAACAGGAAGAAGCTACATGCAACTTCTAAATAACTGAAAAATTCAATTTAAAAAAGACATGTGAGACACCAAGTTTTGTAAAATCCTCTTGACAGTGATGAACAGATTTTCTTTGGCAGGAGGCCTGAGGCCATCAATTTCTGCAGAATCTCAATTTTTGTTTAAGATGGGAAGTGAAAGTTATAGCATCTATAGTGTGACAAATGCAAACTGATGCAGTGCCATCTTCCTGAGTTTGTAAATACTTTCATTGCTGCCAATATCTTTTTTCCCCTCCCAAACAGCAGCAGAATAAAATTAATAAGATTCTGGAGTCAAATTTACTGCCATTACTCAGATCGCTGGACAATAACAAAACTGCCCAAGAATTTCC